ATGTTATCTTATCCGCTATCAAAAGGATAATAAGAAAACCCCATGCCCGAAAACTAGTCTTCAAAAAAAATTGTGCAAAATTACAAACTCTGATACAGAAAAGTGTGGTAAGACTTGGTGGGAACTCACCCTGGAAGACAAATCAGGTTAACGGCAGATATACAGTTCAGATGGAGAACACAAGGCGATAGGGGCACTTAGCATTTTCCGCTAAACGACTAGACATTGCAGGGGATCTCTGAGTTTGAGCTCAAGATATAGTAAAATTGGTCCAACTATTTATTATTGCTACGTCAAATGATTTATTTCGTGACGGTATGGGTCATGTCATTGGAAGGATAGTTGTCTGATGGTGAATAGTTTGGCCCAATAGTAGGGGGCGAACAATAGTTTTAGCCTACTAAAGAAATCAATCATAAAACCAATATGTCACTTGGTGGGACCCTTGCTAATGGATTGCTTATAGGTAATTCCCGAGAGACAAGCGCATCAGGTGGCAATCCTGGCTCGATATTCACTCGTTTGTAAGTATGGAGGCGCTGACTTGTACGCCCTGACTGGCAGTCGGTGCATGTACCGCCACTCAGTGCAAGTGCCAGCGCCTCAACGAGTGCCAGTACCTCACCGAGTGGCTGTACTTACACCGAATGCCAGTACCTGCTCGGTACGTGCACAAAGTGCCGGACATCGAATGCGTGGCGCATCCGAAAGCAAGACTTATCATCGCCGAAAAAATACCATCTTTTATTCTTTTCAAACTAGCTTGGATTTGAAGATGACTTTCGAACATATTGGGCTTGACAGAAGCGAGGCACTTGACCCGCATTACTGTTTAGGATATAGAGTTGGTGAAAGTCAAGTATAAATGAGCTTTTGATCTAACCCTCTGCTTACAGACACCTCATCTAAATGATACGAGCGTCCCTAAAAGTCATCGAAGGTTTAATAAACAAAGCGAGATACAACTTGACCTTCGTGCTCAGAACACATTACTTTTCAGTGAGATAGCCGATGAAAAATTGTTATTTTTATTCGTTTTATCAGTATATACAGTAAGACACAGCAGACGACAGTTGAGTGATGTTCTGTAATACCCGTACAGGAACAAAAAAAAACTGGGAAGAGAGCAGAGAGTGTACAACGAACTACACGAGGATTTTGTACTGATCACCGTACTTTCAGGAAAATGAGAAAATTACAGTATACCAACTAGTTCATGAAAAAATGAACAATCAGAGATTCAACTTCAAACCTAACAACGGCTACAAATCAATCAATAACTCATTTAACAAAACATAAAGCCTGACACCGTTTTGTTGCTGAATTAGTGTTGGGTTAAAGTCACATGGGAAAATTGATTCAGTTGAGGGTTAGATGGGTAAATATCAAAAAAAAAAGTCAAAAAAAGGAAAAATCACGCTCGAACTGACGACCAACTGTCCGTTGGTCAGACAATCAATTAATCGATATATTCTATGTATAGCTTCCTTTTCCGCTCGATGATACTCGTGGTTCGTAAGCCGGTAAAGGCGAAACAGAGTCGGATTTGCCTCGACGAAGTAATTTGGACTTAAACAGAGATGTTGTTAGAATGGTTCAAATCTCACGAAATCTGTTTGAAATTTGAGATCGATATCGATCGATAGCATGCAGTAAGAATATATCCTGGCATGCAAGGGGTGGTTTAAACAAAAGAAATGACTGAATTAGTAGATATATCTGACCTTTAATAGGGCATAAATAGCAGCGACGGCAATCAGAGCCAATCCTGCTCCAGCCATTGCAGTAGCGATGGAATGAGCCCACCATTCGGTTTGAATCAATTCGCTTTTAATCGTGTTCAGAGTTTCACGATCGATAGTAGCGTCTTCGTGGATAATCAGAACCGGAATCAACGATGATCGAGTCTTGTTGAGGTTCACTCTGGAAATATCCGATTATCTAAAATGGATAAGGCTCAAACTAACAGCAAAAAAGGTTCCCCTTTTGAAGAGAAGGTAACTATATAAAATGAGGAGAACTAAGAATAACCGGTAAGCCTAGCAACAAGGATCTAGT